ATATATATATATATTGAAAGCAAAATGCCATCAAGAAAAAGTCATGAAATTTCATTTTGAGATCATGAATTGTTTTTCCTAGAACTTGTTCATATGCATTAACGACCTGTGTGCAGAATTGTAGCCAGATTGTCGCAGAACGTTACTGAGTTCTTGCAGAAAGATTTTTCCTTTTCAAAGTAAAAAACTTTGGTTTTCAGAAATGATCGAGAAATGATCTCAGCAGAAATGATCGAGAGATTTTTTCTTTTCTTCAGAATTGTATTCAAAATATGCTTTTCTCGCTCATTAGAGTGGAGAAAAAATGCTTGTGATTTTTCTGTTCTCTTTTGAGAATACTGAAAAATAAAGAGTAATGAAGTAAAAAAGTTTTAGTTTCCATTTTTGCGGAAATTTTCGTTCTATTTTTTTATGCAATTATTACTATTGATTTCCACATAGCGTAAAATCAAATATTTTTAATACTGTATTTATTACAACAACTGAATCAAAATTTAAAAAGGCATTTAGTAACTCCTTTTTGAAGAGTCCGATTTGCGTGATTTTACCGTCAATCTTTTTTTTTCTGCTCCAGATTTTTTTAATGGATGTGAAGACAAAAAGACAAAAAAAAAAAAAAATAATTAGTGTCTTTTCCCCCTACAAAATCCAAGAATACGACATAATATTAGAATTAAAAACGTATTACATATTCAATTAAAAAAGTTTTTTTTTCTTTGAAGCTTCTGTTACTTTAAATTAGTACCATATTATTTAGTAACATTTATTATTTTTAAAAGTATCTTGCAGAAAGATATTAGTATTAGAGGGGTATGTCGCAGAAAGCCCGAAAAAATTCTGCCACAGGGCGCTGGTACAGTTGTCAAATGAATTCAACTTAATATGCATATATAATGACTATTATATGTTTCATATAAATATAAAATGCAACATTAATAGCACTGAATAAAGTATTAAATCATTTATTTTTTTAATCTATTTACCAAGGATTCTTATTTTTTCTAATCCCATGTTTAGCCAAGAATTATGAAACTCTAAAAGACCTTGGAATATTGGAAGGAACCAAGATATTTATGTGGGATGGCGAGCAGGTACATTTTAAAATATTTTATTTAACGCTTTTCTCATATTTTCTTGATTTTTTAAATAGCTTATACATATATATGTACGTATGTAAAGTTCAAAATGAAGATAAAACAAAGGCAAATTACAGACATGAAAAAAGGGGGGAAAGAAAAATAATAATAATAAAAAATAACAAACAAATGGGAAGAAAAAGAAAAGGAGAATTTTTTTTAAAAAGAATACAGAAAATATAAAATATAATCTTTTCATCAGCCCACACGATTATATCCGCAAAAAGAGTGCTTTCTGATATTGTATCAATATAGCCCAAGAAAAATATATTAATACAATAGTGTGAGGAGCACTCAAAATTTTTTTTACGAAAATTACAACTAATAAAATAGAACACAAAAAGTAAAAATAACACGCAAAAACAGAAAATAAATTAAAAAGGAATAAAACAAAATCTAATCTGAGTAGCGAATTCAAATGTACTTACATGAACGTGAAATTTTTCAAGAATGATTTTAAAAATATTTTCGTAACAAGATTGCCAGATTGCAAAATATGAAAACAAAAGCTCAAATTGAGTGTAACTAGAGGAGTTTTGTTTCAAAGTGCCGTTCTTACTGCATTGCTGAAGTGCGTTTGATTTGTTAGTTACCAAGGATGGGCCCGAAATGGATGTGCACAAGGTAATATTATACTGGATAATTTAAAGAAGTTGACCATAAATAATTTTAGAAAATAAATATTTATTTCAGAAGAAAAGAGAAACATGAATTGAGTGTTTTGCACATAATTTTAGCCACGGATTTGCCCGAAATGGCACAATTTATAAATATCGTATAATTTTTCCATTTGCACATGGAAAAATTATACAAATTAACAAAGAAATTATTTAGTAAATAATTTTGGCAACAGATTTACCCGAAATGGATTTGCAAATGAGAAAATTATAAATTAAGAGAGAAAATTTTTAGTAAATATATCCACAAAATATATGATTTATTCAATGATTTTATATAGAATTTTATTACTTTTGTTGGGTATCCATTGTTTTTTATCAAATTTTGAAAGAGTTTATCGATTTGTTTTTTGGATAAATAAATATTACTACATGTTCTTTTAATTCTATTCATTTCATTATAAGTGGTATTTAAATAGATGTTCCTAGAAACATTAGAATTCAAGTAATTAATTCATTTCTATTAAAATTAAAATCATTTCTTTTATCGTATAAATCAACAAGGCAGATATTTTCATCTTTTATAATACCCTAATCCAAAAAATTGAAATTAATATTATCATCATGATTACGAAGCAAGATTAATTCCTCGGGGTAAATATCATTTAATAAAATAGTATAATCTTGAAAATTAACGATAATTAAGTTATCAATATATCTAAAAACAAATTTAATACTAAGAGTATAATTTTATTCATGATAATGCAAAAATAAGTTAGTTAAGAGAGATGAATAATTAGATCCTTGTGGTATTCCATCAATGTGAAGAAAAATATCCCTTCCATTGTAAAGATAATTATTAAAAAGACAAAAATTAATCAGAATTTCCCAATAATCAAAATCGCAACAAAGGATATTTTTAAAATCATAGTTCAAAAGGACATCTTTTAGTTTAGAAAAGGGAATGCTGTTGAAAAGATCCCGGAAATCAAAAGTCGCAATAGAATTAATTTTATTATGTTTTATGAATTCTAAAATCGGTTGATTACTAGTGATAATCCAAGAGAAACCTTCTTTAGAAATATTGTTAATAATTTTATTTAATAAGTAGTTAGAGAAAATGGTGCCAGATTTAGTTAGATAAGTATTAGATCCACATGTGATAGTTGTAAATTTTACAGGAATTTTATAAAATTTAGGACGGATAATTAAGTAAGGAAATTGTATATTACTAATTTTAATTTTTAATCTCTTATACGAAGCTAAAAATTTTTTAATCAAAATATTATTATTGAAATTACTAAGTTCAGAATTTTTACTATTTTTTAATTCTGTATTTAAAAGTTCAGCATAGAATTTTTTACAGAAGTTTGCATAATTATTGTTAGCTTTGTCTATGGGAGTAATTACAAAATTTTTTTGAAGTTACTTAATTGATTGAACAATATTAGAAAAATTTGTTGGATTGTTACTCTTATTTAAATTATCCTTATTATTGAAAACAAAGTTTTTAAAGTAATAATAAACACCCCATTTCCATTCTGTTAGCTTAACTAAAGGTAAAGAGAATCTATTTGATATCTTTAAACAAAAACTATTGAGATCATTAAGAAAGTATTTTAGAATTTTATTGATTGATATATGGTAAATGGATCTAAATTTTTAAGTTCCAAGTTTTCTATAATATTTAAATTACCAGTAATAATATGTTTATTGACAAAATCAAAATATTTCTCTTCCTCACAGTGACATTCATAATGGGATATACAGTCAAACACGGTTTATAGTGAACTCCCGGATATAATGAACGAAATGTTCGGTCCCGTGCCTTGCTTTACACGTATAATGTTATTTTATGTGGATATAGTGAACCAAAAAAGTGAGGAAGTTGGATATAGTGGACTTTTTTTCTGTCTTTGACTGATTTTTTTTCTAAATTTTTTTGCAATAATTTTGAAATTTCTACTTCAAGATAAATACATATACTGATTTTTAAAACCAGGTATAGAGGGGAATGTAGCAATAAGCATTTTTTATTGTTTGCTTCTTTTATCTCAATTTCCCATCCCTAAACAAACCAAGCAGATGATGCACCTGTAAGGTGTCAGTGGGATCAATATGCATTTTCTGTCAGAGGGAATGACTAATTATTCATTATAGGTCAAAGGGTTGGACACTGATCTGTGTTGATAAGACCCGCATTTCATCTCCTTTTTGCTCTCAGTTCAGTTAAAAAAAATCCTGCAAGCAAGTGTCTCAAATTTAACAATGGTGAGCAGTAAACGCAAAATGTTCTCCATTTATGGTAAAATGGGCATAATCAGAAAAATTGAGAATGGATGTAATCAAGCTGATATTTGCAAGAAATATAAACTATCCAAATCTACAGTTTGTAACATGTGGAAAAATAGGCAATTAACAATTTCTTCTCATGGAAAAAAATTTAGATGGCAGAAAAAAGTTGAGAAAAGCAGATCACAAGGATGTTGAAGAAGCATTACTGAAGTGGCATTAAGAAGCATTACTACTACATATATACTAATAAATTTATTTTATATTCCTTTTTTCTTTTTTTTTCTCATTTTTAATTGGAACTTTTTTTTCTAGTTCAGAAACTGTTATGTTTTTAATAAATTTTTTTTTTACCTTGCCAACAGTGAAATCTGTGTAAGCTTACCACTGCATTACTGTAGGGGTCTTAGAGCTATTCCACAGGGAGAATGGAGAAAACCTGGAAAATACAGGGAATTTAGAAATCACCTAAAATAACATGGAATTTTGAATTTTCCCTTACAAACTTGCAAAATACAGGCAATTTTATTTCTTATTTTCATCTTTTAAATTTAATGCATATATAAGGATAATATTTCAGTTATGCTTAACTATAGCAGTATTTGTTATAAGTATGATTTCCTTATTTCTTTAAGTTTTTCCAGCAATTGAAACTAGTACAAATAGACTAATATAGGTCATAAAAGAGATTGTGTGTTTCCTTTGTATAGAGTGTGTATTATATGTACAGGGCAGGTTTTTTTCCCCAGATTTGGGTGGCAACCCTTGTCTTAGAGGGAAATGAATCGATATATTATCTACATCATTTAGTTCTTATGTGTTTGTAATGCATGCCACTTACCAACCCTATATGATTTCTTAAAAATACACAAAAGCAATTCATCAATGGCTCAACAGCCCAGGGTGGTCCTTGGCCTTCTCAAGAAGTTTTTTCCACCTTTTTTTACTAGCGTTTTCCAATTTCAACAAAAGCAATTAATAAACATATTAATTTGAACCATTTTGTTATACTTAGAAATCATTCATTCAAGAGTCATTAAAAGTTTTTATGTACGGTCAACTCACAAAGGAGTTAGATTTTAACACTACTTCAGTGTTTCTATTGCGTAGCATAACATAAGAAATTTCTTGAACTATTTTTTATTTTTTTTCCTCTTCGAGTTAGCTTAGAATAGCATTCAATCACATTCCCAGACAAATTTGATTTATTTCAGCAGTTAACATGAAAGATAGACAGGTGGTCAGTTTTGCAAAGATCTTTTTGTATTGAATTGGATAAATTTTGTTCTTTATTGTAGAGGTCAACTAAGACAAATTGTGCAGTCAAACCCCGTTATAGTGAACCGTCAAGGGACTGAAATTTCGGTTCACTATAACCGAAAGTTCGCTATATCGGTACTGCAAACAATTTTCACTCATTTTTCCGAACTGCTCCCTTTTATTGCACATTATTTAAATAAATGACCCATAAAATGAAATGCAAAAATGGTGAAAAAATAATATGTAGTTACAAAAAATTTGTTAACTTTAATTTTTTATGACTCTTCGTCTTGCGTACAAAAAATTTAGGGATGGTAAACTGAGATGGAAGAAGCAAACAAGAAAAAATGCATATGGCTACATTCCTCTCAATAGAAGGTTTTAAAAATCGTTATATGTATTTATTTTGAAGTAGAAATTTCAAAATTATTACAAAAAATGTAGAAAATCAGTCGAAAACAGAAAAAAGTTCAGTGGTTCGCTCTGTCCACAAAAAATAATATTGCACGGGAGCAAACATTTCATTCAGAGTTGACCGTATTAACAAATGGTGGTGGTTGACTCACTCTGATTAAATGAAAGTACTTTGCTGTATATTTTATCTGTGTTATCTAAAGCCTCAATAAATATTGCAGATTGGAGGAGAACACTTTTCAATAGGAGTTGCACATGAGCCAGTTCTGCTAAATATAACTGTGAACTCACCAACAGGTGAGACTACTGAATTGTCTAAAGGTTTCCTAAAAACAACAACTATTGGTGAACTAAAGGCTCTAGTCTGTACTCTACTACCATTGCAATTGGAAGATATACGAGTTAGCCGATTAGACTTGCAAGGTAATATTCCTTTTAATTTTAGATTTTGTTTCTTCAGATGTCTTCCATAATTTTCCTGTGCTGCAAACTATCAATAAAACCAAATGTTTGGGGCCAAAAGTGTAAGAAATAATGTACAGGGTATCTGCGCACCTAGAAAGTCACGAGAAAACGTGGAAAGTCATGAATTTTGGAATTGAACAAAATTTTGTCATGATTTTAATTATTTTTTTTTTTAAAAAATCATGGCAAGTCATGGATTTAGGTCACCGAAGATCTATATTTTTTTTAATGGAATTTACCCCATTATATTATTAATTATAAAATGTTTTTATCCTGTTCTTTAAAAATTATGGTGTTCTTTCAAAAAATGAAAGGATGAACATCATTTCATGATTACAGAATTTTTGTTACTATTTTTTTTATTTTATCAATTTAAAATTCTAGCTAAAGCAAGCCAGTCATTTACGAATTTTTTTAAATTCCAAAATGAGAACAGAAAAATCAGGAGAATTTCTTTCCTTTCCGATGAACAAGAAAAGTATCTTTAGAATATAATTCTGCAGGAAAAAAGAAGAAAAAAATTATTTGCTTTTGTATTTTTTTCAGCTATTTAATTGCTTCAACTCTATCTTTACTCTGTTTCTTAAATTTGAAATCTATAAATAGGAAGATGGCAGAGTATAACAGTTTTGGTTATACGCATCATTTCAATTAACGTTATTATAATGCTTTTATAAATTTATTGTTCTGTTTTTGTCGGAGAAAATAGTTACTTCGTTAAGTCGTGAAAAATTCTTGGAATTAGTCATGAATTTGAAAATCTAAAATGTAGCAGATACCCTGCATACAGTCTCCATATTCATTATTATGCACCTATCTTATAGGAACATTATCTTATTGTTTCCTTCTGTACATTATTTTATATGCTTGTAGTGAACAACTGAAAAATTGACTCTCTTAATTTCATTTTCTTGAACTTCTTTTTTATTCCTCCACTTTTAATGTTGAATTGTTTACTAATTCTTGATACAAAAATTAGCGAACTCTAAATAAAATGGAATTGTACTCAGTTAAAAATTGCTTCTTTTTTTTTCTCCATAGATTTGAAAATCAATTATTTTTCATTCTAATATTTGGTTATTTATGTATTTAAACAGCTAATAATTTATAACAAATTATGTGCTATCATATTGATTATTATTTAATTGAATGTCTTTTGAATCAATTAATAATTTATTAACAAATTATGCACTATGATTATTTCCAGCATTTTTTTTAGCATATAATCTATTGTCGTTAGAGATGTAACTAATATTTGGCCACTATTCGGTATTCAACTCCTTTGCCGAATGTTTGGCCAAGTATTTTTTTGAAAAGTATTTTTCAACAAAAAATTTTTTTAGAATTTGAATAGATTTAATGAATGTTCTAAAATCATATTTTTTCTTACACATTATTAGAAATAATTTTTACCTATATTTGTTAAGCTCTAAAATTTGCAAGTTTATGTTTGGAAAGACAATTAGAAAAGCAAAGAAATTTGAAGAATATGAACTAGATTACTTTATACTGATCCACGAGTTTTGTATTGTCTTGCCGATTTTTTTAATTATATCCAGGCGAGTCAATTAAATTGTTTTTTCAACTTCTTTTTTTTTCAAGAATGAGGAGATTTGTTTTTGTTGTTTTTTTATTATTATTGCATAGCTGATACACTTTATTCTTTAATTGTCACTATTTTCCTGTATTGTAAAGGCTCCTGTTTTGCTTTTGTATACAATCTTTTGTTTTTATCAGCGTTTTCATGATAGTATTTGCATTTTTGAAAGCATTTCTGATAAACTATTTTTTTTATGGATATTTTTTTTAGAATACATTATTTTTAGCATTCAAGTTTCGTTTTAAGAATTAAGAGAATTTTTTTTTCCAACATTACAAGTTCAGTTTCTTTATCTATACAGTAGAAAGTCCCATATCCGAAATCGTTGGGTCTTTTATAACATACCGAATGAAGCATTTCAATGAGTAATCATTTCTCGATTAGCGACAATTCCGCATGGTTTTGATGATCAATTTTCAGTAGTTATTAAAAATGATTTTTGATGGGATTTTAAAATATCAATGTTTTAATATGATATTATTTCATTTGGCAAACTTTGAATTGCTCTTTTAATTATTGACCATTCACCTGCAATGTGGATTTCTGAATACATTTTCGTCAACTATTTCTACTGATTTTGATAATTTTTTAAAGCTACCGGTAAATTTACTACCAGTGCCTTCACAAATTCAACTTCAGGAAAAACAGTAGTTTCACAAAATGCTTTTAAAAAAAAACAAGTTCTCACGCAAGCCCCATTCTCATTGCAATCCATGGAAAAGAGGAGCTTTTTTGCCAGATATCTTTTACAATAAGGTAGCATGTGTTTGGTCAGATATTGCAATGTGCTAAGCCTAACAGATTGCTTACGCCATATCAAAGCAAGCTTTTTTTCCGCTGAGTTTTTTAAAATGAAATGACGAGGCTCTCCCTCTATAAACTGCACAGGAAGTCAAAATTCAAACATTATTCTGAACACTGGATAATTATCTTAAACACTATTAGAAATTTATTCTACTGGACTTTTATTTTTTACAAAACATTTTTTTCTCTTTGAAATTTTTTTCTGTATGACCTAGTTAAAAATGTTCTCATAATGGAAATAACTTTTAGTGCTAGTACTATGAAATGCATGTTTTTGTTAAATTCAAGTTGAAATTTAACAAGGAACAATGATTTTTATAAATTTTTAAATTTGGATACAATTTTAAAGCCAAAATTTTACAATGGCAACATTGTTTTTGAATATATGAGGAAAAAAAAATTTTTGTAGTGATAATTTTTTTAAATATTTTCTTACTTCATCATATTTAGTGTTGATTTTTTTATATAATTTTAATTTTCACAAATTACGTCTAAGTTTTCACAAAATAAATACCTTTCTAAAAAAAACCTAGGCAGACCCCTGTGATTTTATTGTTTATGTGGTTTTGTTAATCTCGTTTTAAACGGATCGGGATTTCTGCATAGTTGTTAAAATTTTGATTTCATGTTTAAATATAATTTTACCAAGCCAAATCAATCATTTTCATTTAGAAAATTCTAATACAATATGACTTTGAAAATACAGACTGCTCAGGGGATTATAGGTATATTACTTAAACCAATATAATTATTTAAATTTTGATGCCAAGATGGGCTCAGCCCAGAAAAGCCAAGAGGGTTTTTTAAATCGGGCACACTTTAAAAAAATCCCATATATATACTTACCAAGTGAAGTTTTTCCTCATTATATCATTTAACTAAACATTTTTTATTTTATTTTTGCAAATGTAAACCAAATTGCTTGTTGAAATTAATGTTATAAAAATCACACTCTGACTTTTTATGGATTTAGATTGCTGAAAAATCTAATTTTTTAAATGGAATTTATCCCCCTTCCGATTTCATGGTGTTCTGTATATCTGAATTTGTAACAAAATCCCCACTCACAGTCATATTTTATTAAAACATAAAATGTTTTTATCATGTTCTTTAAAAATTATGGTGTTCTTTCAAAAAATTAAAAAAAGAACATCATTTCTAGAGCAAATTATCTTTTAAACTTATGTGATTTCAGAATTTTGTTTATCTATTTATTATCTTTTTTTTCTTCTTTTTTTTTTATCAATTTAAAATTCTAGTTTAGGTTTTTTATGTTGCACTTTTAAGAAGAAATAAAACAGGTTTAAATAACTACATATAACTGACTGTATTTAGTTATTTGCTTTTTTATTTTTTAAAAAAAAATTTTATTTATTTACTTTTTTTTTAGATATTTCATTACTTCGACTCTTTCTTTACTCTATTTTTTAAGTTTAAACTCAATAAATATGAAGATACAGAATATAACAGTTTTGGTTATACCTATCATTTCAATTAATGTTATTATAATGCTTTTTTAAATTTATTGTTGTGTTTTTGTTGGAGAAAATTGTAGCTTTGATAAGTCATGAAAAATTCTAGGAATTATTCATGAAAAATCATGGATTTGAAAATCTAAAATATAGCAGATACCCTGAATATATTTCTTATCTATAAAAGAAATTATGTGTAATATGCCTACAAATTCCAGTTTCTGCATTTAATTTATTTAGATTGTAAACTCTAGGAGCGCAGAATATGTCTGATCTTGTGATCAAGGTATGGAAAAAATCTAAGCAACCCTAGTAAATTTTCAGTCTAATTAAATAAACGTTGCTACAAAATTTTTAAGGCTTAAACAAAAAATATGTCACTTTCGTAATTGTAGAATGTTACCATTTCTATTAACTATTTCTAATATTTTAACACATAGGCTAATTTTTTTGAGAACGTTTCAAAAATCAAATATTTATCTTAGTTATAGGAAATTTGTACAAAATACAGACTTTTTAAAAGGTAATGTAACTAAAAAGAAAAGAAACTGTGTTCTGTGAAAATCTTTTGCATTTCCCTGCTAAGCCCTTCAAGATATTTTTAAATATATCAACAAATATATATATATATACAATTTTTCAAAATGAATGATATTTTTAGACTGAGGAATGCAGAAATCAGTTTTTTTGATAAAAAAATTTTGTTTGTAATGAGTATTTTAAAAGATATCCCAATTTTATTTTAAGACTTCTATTATAACCTTAACTGGTTTCTGGTTGCTTAAGAATTTTTTTGTAGGGGGGGACATTGAAATATTTTTTACTAGCAAAGTGGGTGGTGATCTAAAGAAGATTGGGTACCAATGTTCTAGAACAATTTTTTAAAAATATAAATCCTTTGAAACATAACACAGCACATTGTTATCGTGCTGAGCAACGTTTCTTAAAATTGAATTAGAAATGCTTGAGTAGGCAAATGTTGATTTCTCTATAACCATTTAAAAGGCTTTTTCCAAATTCTTTCCTTTCAAAATGCTGATGTGGAAGAGAAAGAAAGTGAATTTTAGGGTGTCTTTTGTGTAATGAAGCGTTCATTCATTTAATCATTTATAGTTATAAACATTGAATTTATAAATTTGGTTATTTATAAGTACAGAAGTTCAAGTTTATGACCTGTTCTTCACAGCGGGTTCATTTTATCATATCATTTTTTTTAAAAAATAGAGAATTAAAAAAGCTATTCTTCATCATAATAGCATATGGTTCATAATTAAAAACTAGTAATGATTATGGTTTTTGTAGGAGAAGATTCCAGAATTTCTCCGTTAAGTGAAAACCAAGATGTGTGTACGCTGTCAGAACTGAGCTTCTTAGATGGTGACAATATCATGTTTGATAGCATTAAGTTTGAAGTAAAGAAAATGAATGATCAAGTCACCGTAATTGTCCAGAATTATACAAAGGTAACTTGACTTTGCTTTTAGGCATATTTAATATAATTTGTTAATATTTCATTCTCACTCGGTTCATTTTGTCTAGTTAAAACTAATTATTCCAGACCTCCAACAATTTAAAGACAATAGGTGTCTTTTAGGAAAGAAAAAGTGCTCTTCCTGCTGATTAGATGAAAGGAAATGGGATCAACAAAAGCCCAAATTGCAAAGGAAAGCCCTGTTGTAAGAAAAGCGCAGCAACGCTCTATAAAAACAACAAAATCCAATTTTTGATGGAAGAAAAAAGAAAGATTTTATATGCGTCTTAGACAAAATTGCAACTTTAAACTGTAGATAAAAAAAGAAGACTTCTACTCAAAACAGAGTGAAAACTACATAAAAGAACAACAGTTTAAATTCAATCATAGAAGAGAAATTAAATGAATAAGCTTTTGACCTGAGATACTCAAAATTAGATTTATGAAACACAATTGAGCAAAATTGCCCAAAACTGTCACTCATCACTGTGACACCATCCCAGTTAGCTGCCAAAATTTTCCCCACCAAGGAAAATTTCGAAAAACTTTTTTTTAACGCATTTCAGTTTAGCGATGAGTCAATAGCAAAACTTAAAGAGATGGGAGTGTCTTAAATTTATCATAAAATTGCTGAAACATTAAAAGTCTACTCCTCAAAAGAAACATTCAATAGGTTTATTGTTTTACCTTTCAATTCATCATTTAGAGTGATTTGACATTATCCTATAGCAGCAGACAGCCCCAGATTTTTTGTCTGGAGGAGTTCTCCTCAAAGCTGCACTGTAAGTCACCCATATACGACCACTGTTCAACAAGAGTGTCATTTCAAAAAGGTAAACAAAGTTGTACCCAATTTAACTACAATGTAATGGATGCCAAAATATTTACAGACCGTCTCTAAACACACTTATATTCAAAACATTAACTTAAATCATACTAAAACTCATAAAAATAAAACCTAATACTACCCCTTAATAAATCCTACATTTTCGATATAAATACAGTGAAAAAAAATTCCAAGCTCATTGAACTTGAGAACATCAAGTTATTTGTACGTAGTTTATAAAACATGCATGTAAAATTTATTTAATTTGCACCCAATATTTCTTAAACCATTTGAAAAAAAGAGACAAAATATCATGTTATCTTTTCAACATGTTGAAATAATTATTTTTATATATCATATTAAAGGTTAATTTTAAATGCAAGTTGTATCAATTAATAATCTTCAGAGAAGTTGTTTCAACAAGTGCTACACTCATTCTAAAATCATCTCTAGCCATGCTTTGACTAGATTGCTATATTTCTCAAAATTAATAATTGCATTTGTTTACAGTTAAATCATAAATTTTAGTCAGTATTAATTTATCTAACTTTAAAAATTTTTTTTGGAATAGTACATTTATTATATTTATTATTTTTTTATCTCCACCTAGTGGAATATTTTTCATAAACACATAGGCTAGACAAAACAAGATCTCGGGAAGAAAAAAAAGAAAACTTTTGAAGTTCCTTGAGGTGATATGACAAAACCCAAATAACGAGTTCATTAAAACCCTGAATTCGATCTCATCAGTATATAGATATACATAAAAGGAAAAAAAAATTATTTTAAGTTGCTTCAATTTCAATGGAACTATAAAAAAAATTTAATTGTGATATTAATAATAATAATTACCAAATTTAAAGTTTTAATTTGTATTTACATTATTCATTTATATTAATTATTTATTCGTGTATTATTATTTATTTTTTTAATAAATCTATACTGGATTTTAATTATGCTGTTTATTTTTAAAAGAGGCAATCACTAATACATAAAAATAAATAGAATGAATTGGATGGCCCACATGATTCGAATGAGTGATGACAATACAATAAAAACGATGCTGCTTTTTAAACCAACTGGAACAAGAAAGCGGGGAAGGCTGCTGTCGAGATGGGCTGACTCGGTGGAGTCTGATTTCCTTGCAATTAATGAAAAGAATTGGAGATCAAAGATAAATCGGAAGTCATTGTGGAGAAATCTTGAGGAAGGCATTGGCCCACATTGGGCTGCTAGACAACTATGATGATGGCAATCACTAACTGAGAGGATTTAATACACAACCTTAATTTGATTTAACATAAAGATGAACTCTAAAATTTTTGCAATACTGGATCAACTCTAAATTTCATATATACATTTGTTCTTCTGGATTACAAATCTCATTTGAAACTTTCTACGTCTGAAAGTGAAATTGAATTGAATTTCAATTTAGTTGACATTGCTTATAAATTTGCATAATATATAAATTTTAAAGAGAAAAAATTAAACCTCTCTTTAGATACAGCACCTCATTGAGAGTTAGTTGATTAAACATATTTCCAGTGAGATTAAAATGTAAAGGTGGGTCATAGGATATTGATTTAGGAAAGGATTTGAGGGATCATTAATTAAAGGCATTTGGTCCTGAGAACTGGAAAACACTAGCAGGAAAAAGGTTAGCCTGGAGAAAACTTGAGATGGCCAAGGCCCACCCTGGGCTGTCGAGACATTGATGATGATTAATTAAAGAACTGGTTAGTAAATTACTAAAATTATAAATTTGTTTGACAGATCATGAGTTAGAATCCTCTTGCCATCGTCTTGACCTTGGGAGGTTCTCGTGGTTTTCGACTCCTCGTAATGCAAATGCAAGTTAGTTCCATTAAAAAATCCTTCAGGGTGGCTAATTTGTCCCAATGTTTTTTACAGGAGTTCCCTTGTCTTCTGGGATTCATTCGAAATTGCAGAGCTCAGGAGTTGGATCAGCCGGTTATAAAATATAATAATACATTATATATAATTACAGCTTTGTATGTGTGATAAATAATATGTGTGAATGTTTGCTTTCAATGAAAAAAGTCGCAACTGGTTGGCAATTAAGAGACAATTTATCTTTAGTCATCCTGTGTAAGATTAAAATAAGGAACTTATGTAACTCTTTTGTGTTATATTTCTGATGCTGTCTTTACAAGCAAAAACATGTTTTCGTAAATGGTTACTAAAAGAATTCTGTTAGATTATTGAAATTATATTTGTATTAAAATGTAGACTGCAAAAAAAAGTGGTTCAAAAATTTATAGATTCTGTAAATTAAAGCCATTTCAATGTTAAATTACTGTTTCTCTTAAATCTAAATAAAAATTATTGTTTTCGAGGTGAGCTATCAGTTTTCCTATCTGCATGCATCTGATTCATAACCATAGATTATTAAAATTCTAATTATAATATTTTTCACTTATTTTGACTTAAATTAATACAAAAATGTGCATAATAAAAAATTCTGCATGAAAGGGTTAACATTATAGAAATTGTTTAATTTTCTAGAATGATTGTGATTTAGATGAGATGCAAAATGGTCATCTCCAATTTGCTGAATTCATCATAGATTTAGACACTGTAAGTAGATTTTCCTTTCATTATTTTGATAGTAGATTTGCTATTGCTGCATTAGAGTAAAGGGCAATTTCGTTTTTAAACGAAATTTGTTGAAAAAAAAGTTAGTAAAAAATGTTTTAAGAAAAAGTTTCAAAAATTGCTATAAATTAGTCTAGCTATCAGCGTTAAATTTTTTACTTTTTTAATGAAAAAAAAGTGAACGAATCATATCAGTAACATGATGAAAAAAAATTTTAAGAGGAAAAAGGTAGAACAATGAGCAAAGGAGGCAGAAAGTATTTAATTAAGTAATTATAATCAAAATGTACATTGAGCCAACAGTTATACAAATCTTTATAAATAGAAAGAAAAAAAAATCTTGGCCTCAGGAAGACTAAAAATTTATAAAATGTATAATTGATTCGGATAAATTTAGTATATTACTATCAATATTTTTAAATAATAATGCTAATTAGCATTATTTATTAATATTTATGTATATACCAAGGGGCACCACCCCTACTCTCTTCACTCACCAACCCCCAGGGTTGCTTCGCAATCATTTTTGTTTCTTAAAGATATTTTTTCTAATATTTAAAAAAATTATTTAACTAAAAGTTCCCTAAATAATTTTTTGTATTAAGGCAAAATTGATACTAGGTTCCACTTGTTTTATTTCTGATTCTATTAGTATAAAATTAAAATCTAACCATTTTGCATGGTTACCATAGCAACTGCATCTATAAAATTGTATTTTGAAATTCTTATTTTATCTTTGTGTTTTGAAAGAAGAAGAAAACTCTTTTACCAAGAGGGGAATGGTTCATTTTGAAAAAAATTTGAAAAGCTTATTCTTAATATTGTTTTAGAATCTTAAGCAGATATTTTGTATTTATTATTTAAATTGCATACGTTGAGTTTACACACTTTGAAATAAAATTTCATTCGAAGTAAATGTAACTTATTAAAAAGGATATCTATGTGACTTTTGAAATATAACTTTTGTATTGTAACTTATTAAAAGAACTATTAACCGTAAAATAAAAGTAAAGTGGTGACATCATAAGACCTTGCATTGAATGATATTATTGGGGGATCACTTTTTAATCTATAATCTTTATGAAGGTGATTAAAAAAATGCCAGTAAATAAGAGATAAATAATTTACAGATAAACGATTTCTTTTATTATAATTTTAAAACAATTGGAATCATAAAGGGAAAATTGCAAATTCTTGATTGCCATTTTGCGACGTGCAGAGAACCTGATTAATATTAATATATAAGAGGTCCAATCTTGAAATACTTCACTCTTAACTTCAGCTCCCTTATACATAGCTGCCAACTCTACTAGATTTTGCCAGTTTCTACTGGTTTTTGTACGAAAATTCCCTAACTTGAGTAAGTTTCCTAAAGAAAATCCCTTTCCCAATAAAATTAATTGCTTGCTTAAATATTTAAATAAGTATAATTAACACATAATGAAGCGAACTTCATTGTTAGTAATCAGTTGAAAACTTTTTTTTTATCTGAAATTTTCAGTTCATTTTTATTCAGAACACCTTTTTTAAATTACTTGTTTATAACTATAAAAAATAAGTTAACATAATTTTAAAAAAACATTTCTAGTTTTGTTAATGTCGATCATAAACAAAAAATATTGCAGACCATTTATGTAGTTATTATAGTGATAAAGTTTTTTGTATTCCGATGACACTAAAAATCCCTGAAATTCCATGTGTGTTAAATATTTACCTAGTATCTTTTGCAGCACTTATCGTGAGATTTATATTAATTCGTAAAATCTACTGGATTTTTTCCTATCCATGTTGGCAGCTCATGCTTACATTTTATAAGTGAAGGAACACTTCTACAATTGCAATTTTTCACTTAATAGTTATGTAATTAAATTTATGTCTGAATTCTAAAATAGATGTCTATTTCAAGACAGATTTAACTTTTTCATTTTGAAAGCTTCTACCAAATCATCCTTCCGCAGAAGAAATGGGAAAATTACTTTGTTTTAAATGTCACAGATAACAGAATTAAAAAAAAAGAAAAACATAAATACTGTATAAATAAAATACTGAAATAAATACTGCTAAATGAGGGATATATAATTTCATAGCTGCCAACTCTACTGGATTTTACCAGTTAGTTTCTCCTGGTTTTTGTACATTTTAGAAAATTCCCTAAAATTGAAGTTTCCTTCAAAAATCCCTATTGTAATACAGTTTTTGTGCAGATTATTGCCTGATTGCTGGAATATTTAAATAAGTATTACTAATACATAATGAAGCAAACTTCATTTATAAAAATCAGTTTTGTATTAAAATTTTCAGTTTATTTCTATTCAGATTAAATTAATTAAAAAAAAAATTTTATAAATTGCAAAAATCTTTTAACAATCTTTTATGAATTAAATGCCTATTAATACTCGAAATTATGAGTAAACGTAATACATAACATTTCAAGCATGTTTAATGTCAATCATTGCAATTTTTCTATTTTGATGACTATAAAAATTCCTAACATTCCCCATGTGTAAAATATTAAATACAGTATGCAACTATTGTTATGAGATTTCATAAAATCTACTTGGTTTTTTTTCTTAACCTTGGCAGCTATGTAATTTACAGGTAAAAATTTAATTTTTAGCTTTAAAACAGTTGGAAATTGCAAAATATGATTGGTATTTTGTGATACTTCGGACCCATTTACAAAGAGGGAGAAAGCAATCTTTACTGAATAGGTCCTTGAGAAGTCTTTTTTGGAAATCCTGTATACACTTATAAAATGTATGATTCTAATTACTTCTCACTGTTTCTTCAATAAACATAAAAACAAAATGACTCTTTGTGATTTGATCTGATTCTTTTTTTATTCCAGACTGTTGCAGAGCTCCGGGCCCTTGCTGTGTCTAAACTGAATTTAAACAGTGATCAGAGCTATGTGATGCGTAAGCAGATCAAAAGTAGTCAAAATAAAAGACTTCCTTGTAAGTACCTTTCATGTTATTTCTTTATATACTAATTATTAGACACACTTTAAGATTCCATGTCAAATCTTAATTACTCAGGTGATACTATTGTGTTTTCTTGACTGAAACCGGTTTGCACTTGTTAACGCTCGTGTATCAATTGATTAAATGAGGCGATATATAATATAAATACAGAATATTTATTATACCGAGCATTATATTACTGTATAATAACTAGAAAAAAATATTTGACACACTGATGTGTTTTAATAATGACATGTTTTGCACAAGTTTATAGGCCATGCTTTTATAGTTAAACTTACATGTAATAGGTTTTTATGCAGGACATCTTTTTATATACTTCCTATTTGTATTTTATTTTTAACGTACTGCATGACAGTGTTAACCAATGGATACACGAACGTAAGCAAATGCAAACCGGTTTCAGCCGGGTAAAAACATTAAAGCTGTATTGTATATCCTGATAATTAAGATTTTATATAGAATCTTATAGCATGTCTAATAATTTGGCCAGAGACAGTTAGTATAGTTTTGTCACACAAGCATCATAGATGAACCAGAAAAATTTTTCTAATGTCACCTGTTAAAACAGTTTAAAATTGAAATCTGTGTCAAGCAGTGAACTTATCGTAAAGATATGGTTCCCAGTGGAACATCAAAGTCAAGCATCACGTCAGTAAATGGGTGGGTGACCACTTTAATCTGCCTATGGAGGGACCAAGGGTGCGCGGCTTAGGTCCTCGTTAAAGTGTCAGACTTCTCGTGCAGGTCGTCGGCTACCAGTCTGGTTGCTGGGAGAGGCTTGAATGATCTCTCCTAAAGGTTTTATTCAACACAAAGTCTATGAAAAAAATAGAGGTGGTCTTTCATGGAGGTTTCACTGTATATATATATAGATAGATTTTTAATAAAGTAGATATGTATCTATAACTTTCTGGTACTAAATTTAAACTATTTATTAAACACATTGTCAGTCACACAACAGTTCAGAAAACGCAGTTTTCTTCCCACTATGGAAGACACAGAGATGTTTGTTTACAGTTTATCACCCGCATACGACAACAAATCAATGGTAATATGATTCTTTAAAAGTTTCAGGATTTTATAACAGACAAGAAAAGAGCCAGTAAGACCTCAATTTTTTATTTTTTTACCGTGACGACAGTATTTGAAATCGATTGTCGTTAGACCTTATTTGCCCCTAAAACTTTATTTGACACCTAGAAATTGACAGGTCTGCATCTTTTTAGGAATTGGTAACTGTTTTTTTAACCATAGTTTCTACAATAGAATAGCAACAAGGACATGATAAAATTAGCTTGTAACATTGTGATTGGCTGTTGAATATCACTCTTGGCTGCAAAAATTTGGCAGGTGTTCAATTCATTAAAATAGAAATTAAAATAATCTTGTTCATGCATGTTTGTTGCATTGTCCTAATTAATTCATTGATAGATGGTGCTTATATTAACTTTGTAAATAGCTTGGTAAACAACTACTAGAAATAAGAAAATCTGTGCAGGAGAAAAAAATTGTTGAAAATGTTTCCCAATTTTTAGATATTAACAAATATATCAATAAAAAATTCTGTATTCTTTCTTATAGATTCTGCTTATGTTATTTCTTTTTAACTGAAATTATATCTCTCTTAGGTAATATTAGTATGTCCTCGTAATTATTTTTTAATTATGAAGCATTCTCTTATAAAACTATAGCTTCAATGTTTATAGATTTTTCTAACTATTTTGAGGTAAAAAAAAAATTAATTCCATTAATTGTTATGCTAAATGAGGATTATTTGAGAGCAATAGAGCACCATTAAACTCTTTTATGAGGATAGAATAGATCCTTGATTATTTACAGCCATCTCTTAATAGTTATGCCAAATTTGTGTTAAGTTGCATGTTAAAAACGTGTTTTCATATTTTCAGGGTCTGATTTAAAAATCTAAGGGCCCAGGCACAGAACTGTCGAGGGCCCCATTGGTCCTCAAATTTACGTGTTGCTCATTTGCAAAATTCTTTTAAATATATTTTTTATAACATAAATAAATTTTAATATATTATTTGTAAATTTGTGCTTTTATTTATTTTAGTTTTTGTTTGCTCATAATTCTACTAACCAATTCTTAAGGAAACAATACAATAATTAATTTAGCAATTAAACTTATCAAGTTTAATAAAGAAACAACAACAAGAAAAAATTTTTAACAGCGACAGTGATGGCACAGAGCTGCCTACACGCAGCATTGCTGAACAAAAATTGACTAAAATTAGACAGTTCTAAAAAAAGAATAAATCAATTAAATATTCCGGCACTCTTTCCATTCAGACACTGGCAACCCTAGGCCCAGGACTCCCAAACCTAATGGTAAATCAGGGCCTGCATATTTTTAGCATGCCATTGTATAATTTTAAAAAAAAGTAACGTAATTTTGTGGAGTTACGCGTTTATGGTTTAAAACATTCAACTTTGATATCTGTTTCTAATGAATCTGCTGCCTATACTGTGTTTGCTACTTGAGCTTAAAAATTCTATGTTGTGGAATTGATTCTCCGAAATTCCATTATTACTTTTTATCTTTTGCAGCAATCTTTATAATTTAGGATCTCTAATAAATTAAATCATTAACAATGCAGGTGAAAACACTATCTCCCCTTCAACTAAAGATGAATTCCCCTCCTGCAATCACCCTGCTCTCGTACTAGGATCGCGATCAACAGAAACTCTTTCTTCTGCTGCAGGTGTGAAGAAAAATATGCTCTAAAACAATGGAGTGGGGTGAAATGATCTATCTTGAAGGTCAAGTTTATCCCCTTTTTATTCCTGTCTTCCAAATTATTATCTATTAAGTATAATCAACATAGAAATGGGTTAGTAAGAATTTCTTAGTATCACATACAAAATCCTGATAATTTTAGTATCAGATAGAAACTAATCTTAATAAGTATAGGGGTGACATATTATTATGCATAACTTTTATCAGTTTTGTTGTAAAATAGATATTAAAATAATTTTATTTTTTATTAAAACTAATTTGTTAAACAAAATAAGTATGTGCTACTTTTATTGACTATTTGTTTACTCAAAACACAAACTTAAAGTAATGGTTCTTTATAATGTTAAATTGGCAGTTGATTTAAATCAGATATACAATTACAAATATTTTGTTTAAATTTTTTTTAAAAAAATGATTATAAAAACTTCATTCATTTCAAAAATAGGCTAATAACAAGTTTCAAGCACTTCAAAAATAGACACCCATTTTCAAGACTTTCCAAACTTGACTGAGAAGGAACAAGGGTAATTTTAAATTTTAGGGAAAAGAAAGTTGCTAGCGAAAAATGAAAGTGAGAAACAAAACTGGGAAAATCACAAAAGCAGAAGAAGGATAAAATGCTTTTTGAGCTTATTTAGTAGACTATGTAGTCTAGAAAATTGTTCTTAAACAGAGTTGGGATCTACATAGTTTTACTGGGGAAAAACTTTTAGTAAAACATAAAACCAATTTTAAGTTATTATCTAGAAACATTTTTGATTTCACTTCAAAAGTTAATTTTGATATTTATAAATAAGGAAAAAAACATGTTGAGACTATTTTTTGATGTAGTGCAAGAGCATGTGACTCTAAAGGATGTTGGATTGACTGATGTATCCTATGTAACTATCGAAGAAGGAATGCCTCCCTCACCTGATCAGGTACTTTTCTCATTCACTTTTCAAATCTAATCAGCCCTGGAAGGTTTATGTTATAGAGATTCTGCTTTACTCAGGTACAGATCTGGGAATATTTATTAGTTATCTGCTCCTCTAGACCAGTGTTTCCCAAGCATTTGTGTAGCCTTTCTAAATTTTTCGTAACGCTGTGTAACACTAATAAAAATAAATGAATGTATTTTTTACTATAAATAAAATTGCACAAAAGTTAAAAATCACAACTGGCTGGAGACACCACTCATTATTAACTGTTAACTTTGCAAAAAATAACCGATAGAAAACTATGTGTTTGTAAATTTTCATGGCTAGCTTTGTTTTTAAATAAAAATGTTTTAAATTTTCGTTTGTTGCGAGATATATTGCCTAAGAACGCGTACCCCCCACTAAACTGTTCCTATACCCCTGGGGTACGCGTACCACACTTTGGGAAACACTGCTCTAGACCAAAGTTCGAGGCATTCATCACTGGACTACGAGAGAAATTCTTTATCTCCTTAGGAACAAGAAAATAATAATTTTATTAATTACCACTTTATTTGCTCCTTCTTTTAATCAGCTTCACATAATTGTCTCTTCATTGACATTATTCACAAAGGACCTTCGGTCTAATAAACCCATTTTTGTGGAAAAGAAACTAGGTAGGATTAAGATTTTTATTTCAACTATTTATGTAAAAATTTGTTTACCCTATTATTGTTTCATATTAAAATGAGTAAAAAAAAAATGAAATTCCTATAGTTTTGACATTCTCTAATACCTGCAAACAACACAAAAATGGTCCTTTTTAATGTTTGTTTCCATTTTAATCGTATAAAGTAGGTTTGTACAGTGCGCAAAATATTAATAAATAGTTATGAAAACAATACTTTAAAAAATTATCGAGCTATGGCAAAATACTCAATAAATGACATTAGCATTAAATGATCCAAGCTTATAACAGTTCTCTTGTCAAACTATTGGGAACATATTTTTCATATCGCATATCTTTGAAGAAGAAAAAATTTAAAATCTCCCCTTACAGGAATACCACTCTGCAGGGAAAACCTGGAAGACAAGAGGAGTTAAAAAAAAGTCACCTAAAATAACAGGGAATTTTGATTTTTTCTTTACAAACTAAAAATACAGGGGATTTTATTTATTATTTTCGTCTTTTAAAATAGAGTGACTACTCATAGTGCAATCTATGGAGTATTTAAGGATGATATTTCAGCTATACTAAACTATTTCATATACTTATAGCATTATTTGTTTTAATTAAGTTAAGCTGTTCCTTTTTCAGCAATTAAAACTTTTTTAGTTTACCCAATATAGCTCACACAAGAGGACAGTAATTGTTGTGTTTCCTCTTAATATAGTGTGTATAATATGTACAGAGAAAGCACAATGAATTTTTTTTTCCCAGTTTGAGTGGATTTGAAATCTCTCTGGAAAGTGCCTTTTTGCGTCTGTAAATTAACACATCATCTGCACTGATTAATTTGCAAATTTAACAATAGACCCACAAACATATAAGAAGTAGTCCTTGTAAGCAAAAATCTGATTATTGTATCGAAAGTTATTCATGGTGTTTACTTTTCTGTTCTGTACAGTGTACATAGAATGATCTTCATGCGACTCACTGATATTCGTATGATAAATAAAAGATTTGTACTGGATCAACAAAAAATTTTACACAAAGTATTTAATACACAGTGACAATGGAAACCTAATGATTAGATTTCTCACATGACATCAGAAAATTCTTTCTTCTGTGGTAAATCAAAATTTTGCCAGAAACATTTATGTATTACAACTGAACAAATAATTTTAGTTTGTTTGATAAAACATAGAATTTTGGCTGCATATTGCTGAATAAAAGCAATTTTTCAAAACAAAGACAGCCTCGTAATAGACATACTTTTGAAGGAACTTTTCTTTTGCCTGAGTTGAACACAATTCTATATTTCATATTTTTCCCCGCCTATGAGCTGTTTTCTTTTTTAAATGTCATCTTGTTATAAAGAAGAAATTCAAATAAAAGAAATCATGTGTTATCTGAGATGTAACAGAACCATTTCAAAATAACATGATTTTCACACACACATCCTGAGCAGTTTCTTTGCTATCTCCATACACTACTTTTCCTCAGAACTGCTCTGTGGCTAACCCACCTCATGCAACCCATTGATAGGGTGGGTTACATCCATGCCTACAGTGGGATTGAAACCCACTGGTCCCAGCACAGTAACCGGTGATCGGCTATACTAATATGTAAACAGCTTTATGAGTCATCCTTATACATATGTTTATAATCAAAATAGGTTAAATCACTACTATATCATCTTGTTCAACTACTCTCTGTTTCCTTCTGCAATCAAACAAGCTCATTCTTTTTTCAGTAATATATTACAAAGAACTGTCATAAATGTGTTCATTCAAATATTACGTAAGCACCTTTATGATTAGCTGACAAAGAGGGAGCAATGATACATTTTCAAATTTTTCTTAAAAAGCAAAATGAAAAATGACACAGGAAAAAAAGTTTCTTTGGTAAGTTTCAGAGGTGAAAAAGAAATCAAAATAGATGAATTGAAACTTTTTTTTCAATTCTAAATGACTAGAGTAAAAGAGAGCTGTTTTTAAAATATGCAATTGAAATATTATTTTTGGAACAGGTTACTGTATTCTTCAATATTGGAACTGGACTTAGTGATTCTCTTGAACTGACAATAAGTAGGCATGCTACTGTCATTGAATGCTTGAGGCAGATGCTACATATGGCTGCTTTGACTGGTATATTATATTTTCACTTAACTCATTATGTTGATAAATGTACTATGTAAAATAATATTTTGATAATATAATCAATTAATTAAAAACCACTTGTAATGCTTCGGAATTTTTGTGAAAGTTAGCAAAAACAAGTGGTTTTGTGTTTAATTATGTCAATACAAATTTGTAAGTATCTTTGAATGAAGTGATAGCTATGATTTAATTTCTTTATAATTCTGTAACTTATACATTTATATACTTGCTGAAGCACAACAATTCGTAACTATTTAAAAATTGTGAATAAAAATATGTAAATTGCGAATAAACGTAGTATGTTTACAGTAATTGGTTATGCAATCACGATGACATAGTAATCGAAATTATCAATGTCTGTAATCATGATTACAAGTAATTGATTACTGTAACTGAAAAATGTAACTGATGACATCGATAATCATGATTACATCTGAAATCAAAATTATAAAAGGTTCTAATCACCATTATAACTGTAATCATGATTACTGTAAAAGATTGTTGTAATCACAATGACAGCTCTAAACAAAATTATGTTATCTTGTAATCATGATTACTCTCCTAGACACTGAGTAAAAGATGATTATAAGTCATTCCATTGAACCAAAAAATGTTAAGCGTGTATTTTGTCAGTCATTTTACGTGAAACTTTTTTTTTCTCAGTCGTCAAGTACATTATTATTAGTGACACTTCCATTAATAGTTTGCCAAATTCAAAAGCTTTTTCTATTTTTCTCCTCTTCTAATCAAAAATGTTTTTGTGTTAGTTGCCTATTACAAGGGAACTTATTTGCATCATTGTCAATATATAAAATTTATATGTTATTTCCTTGTACAGAAATATGAAAAAATAAAGGATATGTGTTGTAGGTGATGCTTGGCACTTAAAGAAAACGAGTTGGTGTGGTGAACCGTTGGAGCAACTGTCACTCGATGGAACTACTCTAGAGGAAGAGGGTATTCAAGATGGGGAAAGCCTCAGAGTTATGGAAGGTCGAACACCCGCAAAAGGGTTTCTCAGTTTCTCCATTCATTTGTATCCTACTTTGGAAATGGTTCCATCTAGCGTTAACATGAATGGTCTTCATACTGGAATAGAAAGTAAGAATTTTATCTACCCTTAATAAATGTTAGTTTTAAAAAGTGCTTAATTTTCCCTTTTCAAAAATGAGATTTTTTTTTTCTTTGTCGATTTTCGCCACATGTTATGCGAAAGCGTGCATTTCACGTTGTTCTATTCAACGTTTTCCCAACTGATTGAACTGCAATCCATTTTGGCGTACCGTCGGTCCTTAGCATATGAAAGCGCCAATCATTTTACATATTTGATGAAATACTGCATGTGCGTCTACTGAGCTGGGTTTGATGAGATTATTGCACTCTCATGTGCAACTCTACTGTAATTTGCAAGATATTCTCCGTTTCAGGCTTCATTTTCCACCCTCTGATATCGAACCTAAAAATTTCTTGATCATTTTATTATGGCTAATACAATCAAGAAAAATAGTTCTTTGTCAGAAACTAGTTATTTTATCATGATCATGCAGAGTCTTTGAAAATTAGTTTGCATTTTGTTAATGTATATAGTGCTTAAAAATATTTCTTGAGTGCTTAAAAAGTACTTAAAAGGTCCTTATTTTTTGTTGAGAGATTTGGCTATGCACCCTGCATACATTTTCTGAAAGTTTAAAAATTATGTATGTTATAAATATTATTTATTAATTTACTGAACAATACAGACCCTGTGGCAGAATTTTTTCTGCTTTCTGTGACAACCTTCCCTACCATTAATATTTTTTAAAGATACTTTTAATTACAACAATTATTAATTTAAAGTAACATTGTGTTTACAGAAGAAAGTATAAAATAAAATGGATGAAAAATTCTAATTGTTAGAGTAATATTATTTCAATTCTATTATTACAGGCGCTTTTTCGCATTTTGTATTCAGAAAAATGAACTAATTATTTCCTCTTTCAGATTTTGTAAATCATTACAAAAATTAAAATTCGTACAATATCGCATGAATAAGACTCTTTAAAAAAGAGATACTCGAGTAAGAAAAAAATAATGAAAGAAAGAACATCATTTCTAGAGCGAACTATCTCTTAAACTTTCGCAGTTTCTGAATTTTTCTATTTTATAGTATTAATTTAAAATTCTAGCTGAAGCCAGTCTTTATGGACTTTTTTTTTCAATCCAAAATGAGAATAGAAAAACCATGATTATTTCTTTCCTTCTCTCTAATACACAAGAAATAAATCGTCGAAAAAAATTCTGCAGAAAGGAAAACCAAAGTCTTTCCATTTCCAAATGAAAAATATTTCTGCTAAAACTCAATAACATTCTACGACAATGTCGCCGTGTTGCCTCAATTCTGCCACGGGGGACCAGTAATACTGAAATAATTATGCCCCAAACAGATACTGGGTCAATAAGCATGAAAGATTTAATTTTATATTGCTTTTTATGAATCTGAGCTAATATGTAACTAATAAGTAAAAAAATGTTTTAGCAGTGAGAGAATCGTTACTTTATATTATAAATGAAATAATTATATTATGTAGTGTCTTAATAGAATCTTTTTTTGTTTTAAGATTTGCACCAACGTTTTGGTGGTTCTGAAGATTGTTACAGAAGCTATCACTTGGGTGATGTAGAAATCTCAAGTGATTCGACCATAACCGATCTCAAAAATCAAGTTCTTACTCTTGAACCGTTAGCTGTAGAATCAATTCCTAATATAAGACATCTGAGGCTACAGTTAATCGATAACGGAAGACCTTCTCGAGTCTTAAAGGGACTCTCCAACACTCTCAAGTAATTCTTTCTTTTTTTATACATCATCGTAGTTTGCCGTTCTACGAAACAGACGTATTTTATGCATAGATTCCAGATCTGTTCCTATCTATCCTTCATTTAAAAAAAAAAAAAAAAAAAATTTCAAAATTTTCAATTATTGATGCATCCATTTTTATTTTATCCTCAACCATTCATTCTAAAAGTTCCTTCTCGATCTCTGTTGTTTTCTTAAATTAGAGCAGGAATTTTTCCAACTAACATCGAATATTATGTATATCTGTCGTATAGTGCTGGGGGATAAAATGAATTTAAATGTTGTTAGCAATGATCGTGCTTGTATAGTAGAATGGTTGTATCACAACAACCCAAAAAACAAAAATTGTCACAGCCTTCACCAAAAAAACCATTTTGAAGAGGAAAACTTAAGAAAAAGGAATACCTTCTTAGTCCAGTGTTAAAAAAGAATATCTTCATTGTGAAGAAAACCAGACATTATATAGCGGGAACACAAATCTTTATTTGTTATTCATAGGCATCGGTTATGCACAAGAGACAGGTGGTAAAGTATAGTGAGTGTAGAGTAGGCGTTCAGATCGTCATCTCTTACACACACCGCTCAATCAACCGCTTAGTAAATGGAAGATGCATTGCTCAAAATCAACATCCAATAAAAGCCATTTTGGCAACTCCAAAATTTCAATACATCAGGAAACAGAACGGGAAAAGCTTGTAGAGATTTAATATAAAATGCAGCAGAAAATTATAATTATTTTGAAGAAAACTTCCGAGTTCTCGAGTGCACCGTCCTTCCCGGCGGCCTTGGGGGGGAAGGTGGAAAAAGTGAAGCGGAGCTGTGAGATGTAGCTAGGAAATATTACAAAAATTTAATGCGCTCGTTAAGAGCCGTCAGTCCCTTAAATAAGAAAATGCTATCAATGTGTTGCAGTTAGAAAAAATTAGAAGCTGCGGTTAAGACAGGAGTAAAAAAGTAAAATAAAAGTGTTTAAATATTTAAGATAGTTACTGTTAATAAATAAGAAAAAGTGTAGAAGTAAAAGGTTTCGCGTGGAAACATCAAACAAAGCCGATGCACCTGTCGTTCTACGAATTTGAGGGGAGCGACATTCCAGAAGAGGGAGTGTAAAAACTGCCAAATTAATTGAAAGGACTATATAAAGTTTGTACAACATTTAAAGACTTTGTTGAAAAAAGAAATATTGTCTAATTTATCCAGAAGTTTATTGAAATCAAATGTAATCTAAGTTTAGGTCTATATTGAAGCTTGTTTTGTTATTTAGAGGAGATTTAATTTGTCAAATGTTGCTTAATTTTATACATCAATACAAAATATTATCTGAATGACTGTGATAGGTATAAATAGTTATCTTATTTAAAAAGATATTCAAACAAAGTAGCACAATAGCACAATACAAAAGATAGCACAATACAAAAGATATTCAAATCTTAGTATTGTGCTAAATTTTTCTGAAAAAAAAGTTTCAATAAGCTTTGCAAGTTGGTAGAATTCTAAGAGATTTTAATGCATACTTTGCTTTAAAATGAATGAAAATAAACCATTTTGTATTTTAAATTAGGAAATTAAAAATACATTCCCAGAACTTAGCAGCTAAAATATTGCATAAAGAAGAAGACTTAATGTAAGTATATTTCTTAAAAGTTCCTTTCCTTATTGTAACCTTGATTGTAAATGGTTATTCGTTTCTTTTTATATCAGGCAGTCTGAAATGCTATTAAATGTGTGCCAACGTTTACCTGACATGAAGTCCTACACTCAGCCCATAGAATTAATTTGGGATACAAGCAAATCTTCTAGTCCTAAACACCTAAAACAAACTATCGCCGATAGTTTTCAAGTTCCTATCCAAAGGATTGTGATAGCTAAGCATTTCCCAGAAAAATGTCAGTGGCTTATCATCGATGATGGCACCACTGCGGTATGTATTTTAGGTTAATATAATATGTAGTAATATACAAATTTATTGTTGAGTGCAAATTTATTTTTTTACAGTTTGCTTACTTATAAAATCTGTTCTCTATGTTCATCAATTTTTTTTATTAAATGCAAAAATTAAAAATGGATCTCACACCTAAAACTGAAAATATTTTTAGTGACTTTGGGTAGAAAAATATAAAAATGTTATTCTTGAAACCGTTTTGTTCACGTATTTTTGGCAAATTTAGTCTGGAACAGATGATTACTTTAAAATGATTTTTTGATACTTATAAATACTAAATGTGTGCTTAAGTATTTAAAAAAATAATTTTTAATTTTCTACTGCATTAGAACTAGATAATTTTGTTGTATGTTTAACTTTTAGAGTTCATGGGTGCCACTCTTCAGTCCTGGGGGCTAAAATCAGTGGATTAAATTCCTTTTTTTTTTCCTTAAAAAATGTAACATATTTTCTAATAAAACAAAATTAATAAAAAAAGTTACATTTTAATTACAGCATTGTTTTTTTTTCACAATTATTGCAAAATGATCAAGTAATGATCTCACACTACAATGAATTATTTTAGTAATACTAGGATTAGTACTATTGCTGAATCTAAATCTGCTTAAGTTAGCATTCCTTCCCCCAAGGTATTAGCATGCTGACTGAAGTTAAATCATTATTATTTTTTTTAATTATTATTATAGTTCTAGGACGAAAACTAGTGAAAAATAAGTAGAGATAAGAATGGTTTTATGACAAGTTTAGTGGCTTTATTATTCAGCTATACAAGATTAGCTGCTACTACTTTTATTTATTTACGAAATATTTTGTGAGAAAAAAAATGTTAATAAAACCAAATGATTGATTTAGTATGTAGGCCATTTTCCAAGGAAGAGTAAATTCTGGTGTTTGTGAGTTATATCTGAAAATTCGTGTAAACGTTTTACCTTATTAATTTTTCAAAAAATAAGTTCAGTCTTGAAATTGTTGCACCCATGGTTTTAACCCCATAGCAAATAACTAAGCAATAATGTTCTTTCTTTACAGCAAATTACACACCCACAAAGCTAATGTTATATGGTGCTCTAGCATAAAAGCTTAAATGAAATGTACACACTCTGCCTTGTAAAAAATGAAGAATTTTGGAACATTTGTAAAACTTGTCGAAGCGAAAAAATGTCGAACGAAAATAACGAAAAAATTTCATATATTAAACCCATTTTATTACCCTACATATTCATAAAAAAAAGTTTTTAGTTTGACTCTTTCTAATCATAATCTTTCATATTTATGTAGAATTGAAGTTATGAAATGATTATCATTTTTGCATATCTTAAGAAGAGACTATAGTTTGTCTAAAATAAGAACTCCCCTATCCATTCCTCTAGACCCCTGGTTTAACTATGTTCAAGTAGGGGCTTGGGGTCATTGTTTACAACAGGTTTCGGCTTGGGAAAGCCCTAGAGTGAAGAGAAACTACTCTCCCTGATATGCGCTATTCTTGTTTCCATAGCCGCAGACTTTGTGGCAGTTTGTTAACGTAGACTGGGGGAGACAGGGCAAATTCTCTTTCGCCTATAGAAGAAATTTGAAGTATAAAAAAAGTAAATTCATTTAAACCAATCATTAAGTTTCAAATGCTGAAAATAATTTCCAGAATATCAAACTGCAAACAAATTATGGCAAGACTCTGTAGAATCATACAGTTGGGAAGTTGCAATAATTTGTCTATGTTTTGAGCCGAAAAACAGAAACTTCATTGTTCACTCATATTTTACCTGAAATCGCTTTTCTTTTAAAATACCTATGGAAGTGTAACAATATTTACCATGAAAAATTTCTCCTGCAATATAACGTCCTCTTAAGATGTTTAACTTGTATTTTTAATTATATGGAAGAGGGAATAGAAAATGAAAATTTTATTATTCTTTTTGCTACATTAGACTGAATAATCGAAAGTATGAATATATATTCTTTGTATAAAAGTAGCATAAGTTGTTGTGTTAATGATAGCTTTGCATATCATTATAATATTCATTTTAGCAATTGTTGTCATTTGTCATCTAATAAAATAATTGTCTTAACAGAAAAAGGGAAACCGAAAGAAACGTTGGGGAACTGGCAAATTAAATGTGAGAAATTCACCCTATTTTTTGAAAGATGGTGATAGAATAGGTGTCAAAGTAAGTTTATTTTTACGTCTGACTTTTAAAAAAAGTAGGTTTTAGTTTAGTAGGGTAAGATATGTTTGAATCAAATAATTTTTTTTTGTTTGTTTAAAAAAAAAATGCCCACCTTGTGTTTTTTATTACACAAATCTGGGCTTTATTGGGTATTTGATGAAAAACGCAGGCTTTTTCGATTTTTTTCAGAATTATTTAAAATTTTTATTCCTGAGTTCTTCTCTAACATGAAAGTTAAATAATTGTTACTAATTTAAAACTTGTTTTGTTGTAATGTAACCATTTTAGATAGCAACATTATCATCTTAAGGACAATCATATTGTTTCATAATACAGTAAGACTTCCCCATAACAATATTTTGGTGACCGAATAAATATATTGTTGTAGAGGGACACACACTTTGGGGACACAATAAGATTTTTTTTAAATTTTAATGTTAAATAGGGTAAACCATCCAGTGAAGGAACATTTCATGTATATTGATTAAAAATAAATAAGAATTTGAAAGTTTTTCTTTAGATTGATTGGTAACAATCACTTACTGCCAAACAATAGGAAGTCATCTAGCAATGTTTTGAATTAGCTGGTCAAATAGACTTCTCTGGAAGAATTTTTGAATGAGTTATCTCTGCAACACCTTGTTTCTTTGAAAAAATTATAAGATGAATGTTTGTATTTATATGTTTGAAGTGGAATTAATTGCATGAAATAGTTTTATTTTTCTCACTGTGATAAAGAGAATTCAAAATATAGTTATTGAAGTTTAAGCATCATAGCATAATAAAGTAGTGAGATAAGAGGGTGTTTCTTCACTGGATCACCAAATGATGAAAAACTAGTGAAGTGTTCTTTCACTGGGGTTTTTTCTAAGTTAATGAAAATAAAAGATAAACTTTAATTTTCTTGTACCTTTAGTGATGTTTCGCATCAAAAGTGTGTTAAAAATACAAAAAAACAACTTCTAACCAGTGAGGGAACAGGCATGTTTCTTTACTGGGCATAGATTTCCCAGTGAATGAACAGTATATATTAATATGTTGACTCTTTAATTTTCAATTCATGATTACAAAAAAAATTAAACATTTTCCAAGTATTTATATGTTATAATTTCAAGAATAGGCTTGTTTTTAAATATTTGTATGGCTTATAAATTCACAGAGCTGATTGTGCTCCGGAAAAAGTCCGGATTTCCGGATTTTTCGCTAACAGTGATCCGGAAGTTTCCGGAGATCGAAGTACTTAGTATGTTATCATTTTCAAACTTGAGGTAGATGTAACTTAGATAAAAACATGTATTAAAATAAAATATCATTCCCTCACTATTAGTGTCATTCCCTCACTTTTTAAATAGTGAAAATAATTAATTTACTTATTAATTAATTTGAAAAATAAATTAAAAAATATCCACAATTCATA